CATTGAAAGTAAAATCACGTAGAGCTGGAGCTCTAACTCTGTGCTAGCATGCTTGCTTTGCCTGCTACAGGCCCTGGATTTGATCCTCAGCACCACAGACACACACAAAATTATAAACTTTACAGAAACATCACTTTTCAGGCTAGAAACCATCCAGTCTCCCTCTGTTCCTTATAAGTGACTCATCATCAAGTCCTGTCAATTCTTTTTTCCAAAGATCCCCAACTTATAAGCCTTCCTTCCTAGTCTCAATTTCATTTCAGACTTTTAACACTAACATTATTCTGAAGCCCCCTGGCTGGGTTCCCTGCCTTTTGTCTTTCTCCCACTGATCCACCCTACACACATTAGCAGTCAAAACTTCCTCCTGAAATACCTTGTGGTGCATCACTTTGCTCTAAAACATTGAATTGGTTTCTTTGCCTAGTGAAGTCCTAAACCACTTGACTTGGGCTTGAAGACCCTCTACCATTGGCCCCTCACTGACCTCTCCAGAATCACCCCTGTGATTTTTTTCATGCCCTGTATGTGTCACCAACATTCCCTCCTCTAGGCCTTTGTCCAGGCTGTTCTCTTTCCTTGCAGGTCTTCCCAGATCTTGCCTTTGTCCCAATTCCTACAGAAAGCCTCAACCACTGAGCCACACCCCCAGCCCTATTTTGTATTTTATTTAGAGACAGGGTCTCACCAAATTGCTTAGTGCCTTGCCATTGTTGAGGCTGGCTTTGAACTCCTCCTGCCTCAAAAAGTGACAGATATTTTCTGTATACTAATGATTGCTGGTAGCCAGCAGCCCCTAAGTAGCTTCAGGATGAGGGACAGTCATAGGAAAGATCCAGGCGGGATAGACATTGGGACTTTCAGCTCCACCACAATCTCAGGGGAGGGGAGAGGGACTGAATGTTAAGTTGATCACCAATAGTTACTGATTTGATCAATCATGCCTATGTAATGAAGCCTCCATAAGAAACCTGAAGGGAAGGGGCGCAGCTGGGGGTGTGGCTCTGTGGAAGAGCACTTGCCTATATGTGTGAGGCTCTGAGTTTGGCCCCCAGCACTGGAGGGAAATAAGATAAGGACAGGGTTAGCTGAACACATGGAGGTTCTGGAAAGGCATGGAATCTCCATGCCTCTTCCCCCATACCTTGCTCTATGCATATCATCATTTGTGTCCTTTATAATAAACCAGTAAATATAAATGTTTTCCTGAGTTCTGTGAGCCACTGGAGTGAATTAGTCAAATCTGAGGTGTGGGAACACTGATTTATACCAGTAATTGATTGCTTGCTTAGTGTGTGTGGGAAAACCCTACCTGTCTGGTGTTAGAAGTGATCTGTGCTGGGAGAATGTAGTAAGAGAAACTGAATTTGAGTTTTGTTTTTCCTGTATATCTTCAGACTCCTCTTGGTCCTTCATTCCGTGCTGCCTTCTTTTGGTGTCTAACAGCTTGCGTCAGATTCTAATCTCTCCAAGTAGCTTATCAAGAACCCACTTTAGGGACCATGTCCTTTCACGTTAATATTGATAAGGAGCCCGAGCAGTGGGAGCCCCAGTGGCTGCTCCAAATTAAGGCATCAATTCACAAACAAGCAGTTTCTGTTCCACACCGTGCGGTTATCAGGGAACTTTGTCAAGGACTTTTCTAAATCTCAACAGAGAGAGGCCAATACTGAAGAAATGAATAGATGCCAGGCATGGTGGCACATGATTGTCATCCCAGCTACTCTGGAAGCTGAGGCAGGAGGGTCACAAGCTCACAACTTATGGAGACCCTCTCTCAAAATAAAAAATAAAAAGGGCTGGGGATGTAGCTCAGTGGTAGAGAGTCCCTGGTTTTAATCTCCAATATTGGGGGGGGGGGATAAAAAGGGAAGGAAGGAATGGATTTATCATTTTGCTCCCCAGCCTCTTCCCCAAACCATTCCTCCTCTGCGCCCTAATCCTATTGCCTTAGTCACCAACCGTATCTTGATTTCTCATGTTCTCTCAGCTACTCAGCTACTCTATCCCTTCCCTCTCACTTTACAGTTTACTGAAGACTTTCACATCCAGGATCTTTTCTCTGTCTTCCAATCACCAGGTTTTACAGCGGAAGAGAACATACAGGAGGATATGATCAGCGCCAGGACCCACCAAGAGTGAATGTGAGCTGGCACCCGTGCCTTTCCCCTGCCTTCCCCTTCTGGCAGCCTTCCTGGTCTGTTATACCTTGGAAATATTTTTTTGAGTGGTTTCTTTTTCTTCCACTTCCCTTGCCTAGACCATGAAAATTGTTTTCTCTTGAGCACTACACAGAGTTTGGAAAGTCAGACAGTGTTTCCCAGGCCTGAGTGTAACAGAAGAGAAGTGGGGTCATGAAGGGTCAAGGGACTCGATTCTGAGGGTGATCTGGAGCTGTGAAGTGGCAGAATCAGATTTTGTATGTTGGCAGCGTTACTCTGGCTGCGGTATGGAGACTGAAAGAAAGGGCAGGTATGGACTCTCAAGGGCCTCTGGACTACACAGAGCATTTATTTATTAAGGTACTGGGAATTGAACCCAGAGGTGCTTTGCCAATGAGCTACATCCTCAGCCCTTTTTATTTTTTTTTTTAATTTCGAGACAGGGTCTCTCACTAAGTTGCTTAGGGCCTTGCTAAGTTGCTGCGGCTGGCCTTGAACTTGCAGTCCTCCTGCCTTAGCCTCACAAGTCACTAGGATTACAGGCATATACCACTGTGCCAGGCTGTCCAGAGCACTTTTTTTTTTCAAACATACTTTAAAAAAAAAAAAAATGTGGTGCCAGGGGTCGAAACCAATGCCTCACACATGCTAGGCAAGAGCTCTATCACTGAGCCACAACCCCAGCCCCAGCATACTTTTTTAAAGTAAAAATTTTTGTTGAAATATAACATACATTCAGAAAACTGGGCAGACCCTAATTGTGATAGGTTAATTAATTATTACAAAGTAGAGAGCTGGGGATATGGCTCAATAGTGGAGCATTTATCGTGTGTATAAGGCCCTGGGTTAGATCCCCAGCACCATAAAAAAGAAAGAGAAAAAGAAAAAAGAAAGAAAGAAAAAAACTACATAATAAACCCACATGTGTAACCATCATCAAATTAAAAAAAAAAAAAATGGGTTAGATCCCCAGCACCATAAAAAAGAAAGTAAAAAAGAAACAAAAAA